TTATTATTATATTATTCATTATTCAATATACTAAAAGATAAACTACAATTATAAAATATTTCTAATTGATTAAAAAAATGTTTTTGACCTTAATTGCGCGGCCATAACCATTCCACCAGTGCTCCAGATAACGACCGCCATTCATCCATCGCATGCCTAAGACAATAATGGCATCCAGCCATCCTCTACTAGGTATTTTATTTTTACAAAATAAAAATAAATGAAAATTATTACTGTAATTTTTTGGACACAATTATTGAAAAAAAAAAAAAAACCAACAACAACAGCAACGCCAACACTTCTACCCTATAAATTATAATCATCACCTTTTTCCAAATTCCATAAACCCTTTACTTCCTTAAAACCACAGGGTATGACCACAATCTCTTACCTTCACCCAATTATTCCTACACATCACATGATGCAGTGTTCCTCAAGTAATCATATTAACTTCTTCATTCTCTCAACAAATCCCCATGATAATGCCTTTGGTTTTATTAATGTTATCTTTCATGATTTCTCCAGCAGAAATTTCTGTATAAACTTGAGAATTCTCGAAGAAATTTGGGGTCAATTAATCCCACCCGACACAAATTAGATGGCAAATCCTCTGAAAGATTTTTTCCAATTTGGAACTGGGGGTTTGGGATAATGTAATAAATATTAGACCTTACTACATGTGATCTAAAATACAATACGAATATTTAATCTTAAAATTAATCGATAATAAATGAATTAATTTATATTATATTTAAATTACACATTATTATTTTAATTAAGATTCTCTTATTTAGCACGTTATATTTAGAAAAATATTGAAAGGGAGTAATTACTTTGCAGTTTTTGACCAAGTGGTAACTTGAATGCCGTGGTTATTGAGAAGTATAGGGTCCCCCATGGATGGGTAAAATCAGGAGATGTTGTGGTAATGTGCTCACTTAGGATGGAGGGACAGATTGTGAATGTCGATTTGTATTTGGACTAATGCATAAATCTGAATTTTGACCCATGCCATCTTGTGTTCTGGTTTGTTACTTGAAAGGGAGGGTGTGGCCCTGCACTACACATTATCTACTGCCTTTTTCTTAGAAGGATTATCCTTCCAGCTCAATCAAAATCCTTCACCGAATCTGAATTCAATAGGGGACCCTTTGATATTCTGTAAATTTCTCATCAAGATACTTTTAGCTAGTCTATATTTTCCACTAAATTCATAGACGTTTCTTTCAAGTCTGGATAATAATAAATGTAGATTTTTCTTGCTTAACATGTCATTATATGTGTTAGCATGCAAACAAGTGCAGTAACTCATATGAACATGGGAATTCCATTAGGTGCTCTAATATTATTGTGGTTGATCATGGGTGGAGACTCATTTTATGTGTAAGTTCACATATTTTTCCTTAATCAATCTATTTCAAACAGTAAAAAACTAGGTCAAATGTTAAAGGGATGGGGGAACATTTTACAACTAAGTAGATGCTAATAAATTTGCAAAGAAAAGAGAAAGGAGGAGGGTTTATGTTGCTCCAATTCTTGTAATCATTGCAAAGCACATGTCCAAGGATTCTCATGCTCTGCTTAAAGCCTTAAACAAATTTGATCAAAGAGGAACATGGACGAATCATGATGCTCAGTACTCTCAATCTAACATAGTTTCAAAAGCAAGATCTTTTCTGACATGTTTTATAAGAAATTAAGTTTTTGATGTTTAATTTAGTGTCTTAAACCTCCAGTTTCAGTGCCAAAAATCCTGTCAACAAATATATAGTTCAATGAACTCTGCAGAATTGGCATTCTTGCACATGATTATCATAATATTCAAACATCAAGTTAGTGATTCTGTCTGCAACTAGTATATAGGAATTTATATGTGTTGTAATTAAGATGGTTATGATAACAACTGGATTCGTTGGCATGATTAACTAAAAAAACCTTCCCCACCATGATTGTTGAGACCAGATTAATTAGTTTACTTATGTCTGGAGTATGAACTCAATGCAATTAATCTAACTTAAGAAAAATGGTGGTCCTGTATGCTAGTCTAACCCAAGAGTTAGACTTTTCCTTAGGACGGCTCCAATTATTTTCCAGCGCCAATGGAAGGGGACCAAACAAGGCCAGAGTCATGAGA